AAGCGGTGCAAATGAAAACAATTTCTCACCACCAACTGACCAGTGGCCAGCCAGTCCCCAAGCTGTGCCCCTCTGCCAACCTTCCCCCTGGTTTTATTGCTCGACTGTGATGCCATATGGTATGGAATATCCCTCGGGTCAGTTGGGGTCAGCTGTCCTGGCTTTGTCCCCTCCCAACTTCTTGTGCACCCCCAGCCTCCTCACTGGTGGGGTGTGGTGAGAGGCAGAAAAGGCCTTTGCACTGTGGAAGCACCGCTCGGCAGTAACATACATGTGTTACCAACTCTATTTTCAGCACAAATCCAAAACACAGCTCCATACCAGCTACTGTGAGGAAGACTAACTACCCCCGCCAAATCCAGCACATACGTGCATGTGCTATATAAGACACAAGGACATTAATCTTCTTAATTGAGCAGAACAAATTTAAAGGCTGTACAATTATTTTCCTCGCTGACATGGACACTCAGACAACAGGAAATGAGTGTCATTTCTCTGTGAAGCAAATCTCTACAGTAGATAATCTACTTCAAGATCCATATACTGGCCTATAGCCTCAGTGCCTCTGGGTCAGGAAGGAATTGAAACCAAAAAGGAGGTTAAATGCTGAGTACTGCAGTGTCTAACTTATTCTTGGCCTTTGGACTGGAATCTCAAAGCATGTCCTTGGTGCCTCAGCTATGCATGCAGATGTATCTCTTTGATAGATAGACAGATAGATAGATAGAGCAAGCTATGCACTTAAGAGTGGACTCCAAAACAGCTGATGTGCTGAAGGAAAAGGACACTGCTAGAGTTGAAAAAAAAAAAAAAGTTGTTTTAAAGCCATCTCTTTCTGTAATCCCACCTCTTATTCCATGATTTAGGTGATATCCCTGATATACCTTTTCTTTAAAGGTATCTTTCATATAAGAAGCTAATTTATTTTGTGAGGCTGAGGCACCCCTTTCCCTTGTGCAAGCTAGGCCACTGAGCAGCACAGGTTTCCACAATTGCCAATCCACATAGACAGCACACAAAATGGACCCTGAGTCACTGGCCCTGGTGTTTCCACAAGTAGTCTTCGTGAAGTTTTAATTTATAAATCCATTAATTTATAAATTAATTAATAAAGCTGTGTCAGCAGCCATCACAGCAAGGATTTGTTTTCCCCATCTTTCAGATTGTATTTAAGCAAAAAAAGATGTAAATAATAATAATAATACCCTTGTAAGTGATAAAGTCTTGTACAAGGAAGCCTATCTGTATACCATCATAGTCTTCTCCAAAGCCCTTTTGATCTTCTTTCAGACTGTCATTGCCATGTGACACGCACAAAGTGGGCAAAGTGGGGCAAACACAGTTATTTAAAACATTGTCTTCTTTACAGAACCTATCGGATTAGGCTGTTGGAGTTAATCCCATTTAATGTCTCTGGAGGCCTGGCTAAGAGCAGCAGGGCTGGCAGGTGCTCTGCATCTCTGGGAGCAAGCACTCCCACTCCAGCACGGCACTTGGCACTTGCATAGCCAAACTCCATTCCCTGCTTTCAGCCCTTGCTTTTATAGCAGAGATTAATGGGATCTAGAGGTGGCTTTGGTCTGCAATGGGTGAATACAAACCTATTCCGTATAGGTCACCACGCATGCTAAAGGTTATTTGCAGGAAGGAGAACTCCGTCTTCTTGATGAGCAAGGCTCGAGTTAGTGAGCTCTTGCCTCAGAGGTAACTTCCAGTGTTTTGCCCTCCGTGCTTCCTGGTGGGTGAGGCAGTGGTGGCACGTTGCTCCTGTGACAGGAAGAGATGATGACCCTGACAGGTACTGCTGGCCCGGGGGGTGCGTGAAGCTGCCCAGCGCATGAGGTCAGTGCAGCAGTGAGCAAAGCATTTATAATGACAGTGCTGCACTGCCCCATGCTGCGTTCCTCAGCAGGAGCTCAGCAGGCCTCCAACGCCGCAGCCATGAGCCAGGCGGGTGAGTAAACTCGTCCCGAGTGGCTCCTCTGAAACTGAGGGGGCGAGGTGGCAGCGGGGGGCCAAGATGACGGGGGGGGGGGGCACCTCACAACTCCCCTATCGAGAGACTAAGCATATTTAACTCTTCCTCAGCAGTGCAGTGAACAGAGATGGGTTTAAACCCGCCCTGAGGCTGCCCCGTTCGCTGCCGAGCACAGCCGCTTTACCCGCACCCCTCGGCTCAGCAGGGCGGGCTGTCCCCGTCCCCGAGGCGGCGCGGGGGGCGGGGCTGGCGCTGGGAAGGGGCGGGGCCCGCCGGGCCGACGGGGCCCTTCCGTAAACACCGCACAGCCCTTCCCCTGCCTCCTCCTGCGCGCCGGCACGGTCCATTGGCAGCGCGGGGGAGTCTGCGGGAGCGTCTGCCTGCGTCGCCTCATGTTTCTCTACGCTTAGTGCCCGGCTCCGGGCAGAATGAAGAGACGTGGACAGTTCCTGCCGGGATAGGCAGAGGTTGACCCGCGTCTCTCGGGCTTGCTCGCCGCTGGCAGGCAGGAAGAGGTGTCGCGCCTCCCCCCCGCCGCTGGCAGAGATGGGCGTGCCCGAGGAAGACACTAATAGTCCGGGCTGGGGCTTTAAATGCGGGGGGGGGTTGTTCGGGGCTTCGGCGAGCGCCGCGGAGGACGGCGAGGACGGACAGCGGGGAGTGACCGACCAGGGTGAGCAGGACAGGGTAGGGCTGCGCCGGCCGGCGGCCGTGCCACGCGGCGGGGTGTCCGGGCACGCAAGGGCGCTGAGCCGCGGGGTGAGCCCGGGTCACGGCTGGCTCGGGGGCTGCCGCCCACCTGCGCGGTGCGGGTGACTGGGGGGCGGCGGACTGGCCCCTGTAGGGTACCCTGTGCAGCAGGTGAGTCCCGCAGTCCCTGCGCTGGGTCGGTAGTGCTCCTTTTGTCCCGTGTCTCATAGGCTTTCGCCGTCCTCTGGTGCCCGCCGGCACGGGGGGCAGCCGCGGTGTTCCCCCCGTGCAGCCCCGGTGTTCCCCCCGTGCAGCCCCGGTGTTCCCCCCGTGCAGCCCCGGTCCAGCGGCGCAAGGGCACCCCGCCATCTCTCCGGGACACGGGACATTGAGTGGCGAGCGGCAGGGCTCGCCTTCTCTGGGGCTGACAGGGAACTTTGTCTATCCGCTTCTCCCCCCGGCTCCCTCCCCCCCGGGCCTGCCCTTGGAGACGCTGTTTGTTTTGGTCGGCGACTGCCAAACTCCTGCCTCTGGTAACTGTTAAAAACATGGGGCCGGGGGAGGAGACAGGCGGTGAAACAGATGGAGGAAGAGGAGGAGCCGCCGGCTGCCCCCGGTGCCGCTCCCCCCGTCCCGCGCAGGGAGCGGAGCGGGCAGGGCGGCCCCGGCCTCCCTTCGGGGCCGGGCAGGACGTGGGGACACGAACTCATCCCGTTCTTACCCGGAGTTTTTTAAGTCTTCGCGAAGAGAAGTGGCTGTTCAGAGGGAAGAGCTGCGGAACTAAAAAGCTAAAGGGGAGAAATGCTGGCCGTAAGCTGTGGAAAAACAAGAAAGTAACTCTTAACAAAGGCTCCTTTCTGCTCCTGTGCCGCGGGTGCTGGCAGAGGTGGAGTCAGTGAAAGGGAAACTCGAGCCCAGATGAGATTCAGTCGGTGCCAGCTTGAAGACAGTAAGAATGTGAGCCCAGTAGAATAAACAAGAGTTAAGACCTTCACAGTGGTAAAACTGGACTGAGCACTCGTAAGTCCCTGCGTCCATGCACACTTTCTTTGAAAAAAGCAGGGCTGTAAAAAACCTTTTCTTGAAGATGGTATCTGAAGGAAAAAAAAAAAACCAACCTGTTTCAAACAGTCTTTATTTTTTTTTTCCCTAGGTGCTTCACAAAGTAACTTCTAATGCAAACCTTCAGGAATAAAAAGTGTGTGTGTCCTGTAAAACTAATTTGATTTTGCAGTCTTGATTAGTTCTAAGCAATCAGTTGGGTGAAATGCTGACCATATAAGAGCAGGATGCCTTCAAGCATCTACAATTTTGTATTAATTGTATTTTTAGTAAAAACAATAATTTGCAACTTTCTAAACAGCAGCAGAAACAAGAGAATTTAGTTCTTCATTGTTAACTAGAATCTTAGTATTGGTACATTTAGAAGATACTTTTAGTTTGGTCTCCCACTGAGAGTTTATCATTAAAAAACCTGCAATATAGTAATGAAACCCCTTATGAAGATACCCAACCTAATAGGAATGTAAACATCAGTAGCTTTTAATGCAGAAGAGTAAATCAGGTTGAAAACACAGCATGACTCTTTTAATAGAATAGGTAGGATATTAAGCTTTGTATTAAAACAACAGCCTAATATGTAATACCTAATGGACAACAAACAAACAAACAAAAATATTGTCTATTCAAGATGGTGAGGTACAAAGAGATATTAAAAGGCTAAAGAGCTTTCTGAAATATTTTACATGGCCATCATATATGTAACTTGAAATTACTTATGAATGTGGCTGTTAGTAATTAATCAGAAGCTCTGTGCTATCTAAAAAAGTGTAAGGCACATCAACTCTTCTACTGTATGCTATAAAGAAAGGACTAAGTGACTCAGTTGTCTATTGTTGTAGCTAATTAGAAATGTCCTGTTTGGTTTGTACTTGCCTTTGATATGCTCAGTGGCTCTACTTTTGCCTAAGTGTTTTAGCTGTTGGGCAACATACAGAAAAACTGCAGATAGCACATCCAGATTCTGCTTGTATGTTCGTGTATGTTTAGTTTGATGTGTTTATCTTTTAAGCTTAGAATTTAGCAATAATGTTCTGAATTTGCAGAACACACCCATTCTTCCTTCCTATTGTGTTTGAGGCATCCTCCTAGGAAATGGATTTACTGTGGCAAAAGATTGCAGTAATTTTTGTGTGTCATCCCCTATTGCAATGTTGAAACTTGTTATTTAAATTAATCCTTCTGAAGCACTCTGCTGACAGCTCTGCTATCTGCATGTGTGTGTATATTGTAGGAGCAGATACAGTCCTGGTACATCAGGATATGTCTTGGGCCTCTTTGAAATGCAAGTATTTATTGCCAAAAAATCCTTTGCTGGGACTAGTGTGTAAGGACTTAAGGAAGAAATTAGAAATCTCTATACATTAACCATTTGCTCTTCTTGGGAATCAAGATTTGAGTGGAAAATGGCAGTGCTGACTTGCCTTCATGGCTGGTTTAGTACTTCTCCTAGGAGCACCTTGCAAATCTGAATATTTGTTAGCATTATCATGCTTCCAGTTTTTAGGAAGTTCTTGGAATGATGATGTATAAATTGTGTGAGAATTCGGGGGTTTTAATGATCATTTAACTTCTTCCATGTACTTAACACCGGGACTGAAGCAGTAGACTCATCTTGAAGAGCTCATACTAGGCAAGTGATTTACAAGACTCTTTGTGCCAGTTCGCTGCTACCAGCATTAATCAAATCTTTCGATGGACTACATGCAACATTAACCTTTTGGAGGTTAGTTGTTTATGTGTAAATAATGGGGTGTTGTACATGATTGAAGCCTGGAAATATTGCATTCTTATACTGATCCAGAAAAAAATAGTGGGAGGGTAGAGTGAACTTTGCAGGCTCTGTAGGGTTACTGAGCGGTTCCACATCAAGAACCTGTAGTGTGTTCGACAGGTGGATTACTTGTCACAGCTAGTCTCTGGTCAGCACTGACTTTGAGGTCTGTAACACGCATTTTAATTGCAGAAATAGTTTCTCTTCTGCAGCATTAACTAGTGACTCACTTCTAATTATACCATAATACAATTCACAACCCAAAATATCTCAGCCTCTTGGGTTTTTTAGGTTCCCTCGTGATTCTGTCTTGTTTGGTCACTCCTGTTTTAAATATCTGCTTGTTTTCAGCTGCTTGTTAGACAGTACAAAATTGCTGTTCTAATAACGGTTATGATGTTAAGGATCACAGGTAATGCTACAAGTCTTGAATGCATGACCTCTGTGTCCTAGTCTGTCCTCTGTATTCCACTGGCTTCTCCAGTAGGATAGTAAACTATTAGCTGTATTCTTGCTAACCTCGAAAAGGATCAGTTCTTTTTACAAAGAAACAACAAGGAGTATGACACAAATAAGGGGCTCAAGTGTATCCTCTTTCCTCTTAGGAGAGGAGGAAGAGTAAACATGCGCTTAAGAATTGTTAGTCATCTCAATTAACAGGGGAGTACTCATTAGTGTAATAGCTTGTCAAGTTACAAAGGCCTATTCAGGATGAGCTGGTACCCAAAAAATCAAATGCTGTAAGCTGTAACTAGTGCCAGCAAGAAATCTTCATTCTTACTACTTTTTGTCTATCCCAGGACCCCACAATATGTTGATTCACATAAGTACACACAAAGATCGTCCTTTAATTGCCAAAAGTGGCTTTTTCCAAGTTCAGCAGATGCAGAGTGCAGTATTCCCTGCTACTGAAGTTGATGCAGTTTAATCATAAATGAAACTACATTAGTTAAATTTGCTGACAGAAACCGTTGTTGGCTGTGTCTCTTCATAAAGTCTACTACAGAATGCTTCGTGGCCATAATTAGAGATGGACAGCTACTTTTGGTATCTGGGCCAAATTCCTTTGGTAGTAATTACATCTGACTCCCAGCTTCTCATTTTAATATTATAATGAATATATTTTTCACTTCCTGTCATACAACTGTTAATCATCTGTATGACACTGTCAGCTGTCGACATTTTCTGCAATTGCAGATTATACGCCTGGAAGGCAGTTTCTTTACATAGACAGAAGCACTATGAAGTGTTACACTTCAGTGGTGGTTCTATGCTAAATATAATGTTAGAGGCTCAGAGCTGCCATTTGACTGAAAACAGAAAACTTATCCACCCTCACCCCTAGGAGGAGTTTTTTTGGGTGCATGCCATGGTTGATCTGATTCTGAGCACAGACCTACCTAAAGCAGCAGGGCAGACCTTCAGCTACACCCTGTCAGAAATGTAGTATTCTGAATTACTCGCAAATTCTCCCCCTGCAACTTCTGTGTTTGCTTCACAAATGTTACACTTGATGCTGTCTGTTTGTGGAAGGAAGCTCATTGCTAAACATCACTTCATGAAGTCAGATGGGGGATGGTAACATCATGAGATGCCTTTGTGGGCATTGAAAACTTACAAAATTCTTCCAACAAGCAGCTTCAGGGATTACTGTGGGTAGTCTTTAATTTTTTTACATATGATCAATTTACAGACTGTCTCTAGCATCATCATTAAGCTATGAAACAGCTGAAGGTACAAAACTTTCTTACAGAACAGATACAGTTTGCTGATCGCTGTATGATTCTGTATGTCAGACCAGATTCTTTGTCTAGCAGCTGTTTAAGAAAGGCAACTATTTGTTCTCCATTCACAACATAGTGATGAGTATGTGACTCTTTTTTGAAAAACAAACAAAAAATTAAGTGCTGGTTTTACAGGAACTGTGTTTGTCTTTCCAGGTCTGGTTTACTGTTGCAGCTAAAGGGAATCAGAATGCCTCTCAATGATGACCAGAACAGCGATTCAGACTCTTCACGCCTCTCGGAAAGCACAGCAGCTTCTAGCGACTCTGAATATTCAAGGCAGAGCTTTAACAGTGATTCTTCAAGCAAACCCAGTTCCCCAGCATGTAAGCCTATTTCTACCTTGGCTGCATTGTGCATAGAGCAATAAGGCTAACTTATCTTGTTTCTCTTTGCTGTCGTGGGTAGAACCTGGGATTCTGAATCTGTTTAAGAATATTAAGAGAAAGGCACGGCTTTCTCTCTGCTGTGAAGCAGTGCATCTCCTTGTGTGTGGAACACCACCAGCAGCTGTATCCATGGGGGTCTCCCTGTGCACTCCTACCCTTCAGAAAGTGTAAGAAAAGTGTGCCACCATGAACATCCTGCTTTTGAGCTAAACTTGACTTTGGTAGCAGTCTCCCACTCAAACAGATACCGCTTTGTGCAAAGGGTGGATTTCCTCTGTTTGACCCCTGTGCTTAAAAATTAATTCTGTAACTTACAGATTTGTAATACTGTATCAAGTTACATGAATTAACCTCTAATTCACATTTTTCTTTCATAAATATTAGAATCAAATGGAAAACACGCATTTGCACAAAGAAGATATTTTGAGTAATGATAAATAAAACCTTGATTTAAGATGTGGTTCATGTTTGTGTCTGTAAGCATTCTCAGACTGTGCATACTTTTTACATCTGTGTAAGTGAAGTCTTACATTAAAACAAGGCTTGTTAGTGGAGTTGCAATTGCCAGTTGGCTCTTTGTTACCAGTCTTCCAAATGCTAAAGTTAAATGATAGAATTTGGATTTTTAGAAACTTTGGGAATTTGCCCTTGTTTTCCAATGTAGAGTTTCTGTTTTGTTGTTACTGCTTATTTGTAAAAAATGAGTCTAACTCGGGTTCCACAGCAGGTGAAAGATCTGCTGACCATAAGTGAGGGGTTCTCAGGTCAGTAACTTCAGAACCTTATCAACAGGCAGTAAACCCACAACATAGCCACTATGTGCTCCGAATTATAATGGACATCTGATATCTGTTATTGACTATACTTTTGATCTGGTAGATTTTTCACAACAATTAATAGGAAATTTGTGGAATGGAAGATCCTGTTTTAAAGGGGAAAAATAAAGATATCTTAGTGCAAATGTGTAAATATGAAATTGCTTCACAAAATGTTTTGAGGTTTTTGTGGTGTTAACCCTACACACACCCCTGATAAGCTGGGAGTTTCCTGAGTCAGTGTTTTAAGAAGATATAAAGACCTGGTAATCTTAGGTGGTTTCTTCCAGTTAGTAGGCAGTAAAACTTTTTGTGTTTCAGTATTTTTCAATTGCACTTACCAGATACAGATACTAGGATATAATTGATTTTGTTTGTTCCAGCAGCAAGCCCTCCCAAGGCTATTACATTTGATGAACTGATGGCAGCTACAAGAAATTTGTCAAACTGGACTCTAGCTCATGAAATTGCTGTAAATGCAAATTTTTGCATAAAACATGAAGACTTCCCACAAAACAGGTAGGGACTTCAATTTTGCAAAAAGCAGCATTGGTGTTGGGAAGAGAAGTGAAGGGAGTGTATTTTGGGAGCTGTGATCCACAGCCCAAGGAAGATGTGGTTGCAGGGCATAATATCTGGTGAGGTGTGTTTCCCAACAAGTGAACAGGCCCGTCTAGAAAAGTTACCAAGGATGAAAGCTAATTGGGAGTCTTTTCTGTATCTAATTGCCTTACTCCACAGCTTTGCAGGCACAGTGAAACAAATTGTACACAAGGCATTTTGGGATCATTTGGAATCGGAACTGAACGAAGATCCTCCAGAATATGAACATGCCATCAAGCTCTTTGAGGAAATTAAGGAGGTAATCCTCCTTCTCCGTTTGTTTTGTCAGCTTAGGTCTGAGGTCTCTTAGTTCACTGAAGGCTCTGCTTAACTTAGTCAAGCCAACACATTCAAGTTCTTCCTTTTAAGATAAGCCATGGTTTGCATTTGATAGTATATTCATATTAACCAGGAATAGGGCTGCAAACACACAGTGTTCACTCAGCTTTCACTGCATGATGAGGAGTTGAAAGTGATCTCTTTTCACAAAGCTTCACATCTCTGCTAGCCTATTTCCAGAAACGTACTGTGAGCTTAGGGCACGAACAGAAGTATAAACATGACTGCACCTGCCTACTCAGACTTCATTGTTTGATTATCACACAGGTGAGCATACAAACCTTCAATCCTGGCACAATGCTAAGTCTTCCAGAATTTGAAGTTAGTAAATGTTTATTTTACAGGGCAGCCTCCCAGCTTTTGAAGGAGTCCAGTTGTGCACTTGCTTTCTGCTTTACTGACTTTGAGCATTTTTGGAGAACTGTACTGTGATCCTTTTAACAGTCCTTTTCCCCCCTGCTACCTTAGATAATGTTCAGTCTTGAAATGTCTGGTTATAGTCTACATATACTTGACATCAGTATTAAAGTCTCACTTTAGTGTGTTTACCAAGTGGTTTGTTTTTTATTGATAAGCTTTTCCTTTTTTCCCTCCCTAATTTAGATTCTTCTTTCCTTCCTGACTCCTGGAGCAAACAGGATTCACAATCAAATTTGTGAAGTTCTAGATACGGATCTTATAAGACAGCAGGCAGAACATAATGCTGTTGATATTCCTGGGCTAGCTAACTATATCATCAACACTATGGGAAAGTTGTGTGCTCCAATAAGAGACAACGATATAAAACAGTTAAAGGCAACTGACAATATCGTAGAATTGCTGAGGTTGGTATTGGGGTGAGGTTTGAGGGTTTTTTCGGGGAAAAACCTCTTCCCTGAAAGAGTTACGGGCAGTGGAAGTGGGTAAAAGGGGGTAAAGCCTTAACAAGTACTAAATTGTCTCTATTACCTGTCCTAACACCTTGGCCAGATAGTGTATCTTACTTTGTAATGAAATGGGTTGGATACCTGTATGAAATTAGGGATCTCTGAATATCTAAGCCAACAACTCCTGCAATAGACTGTGTTTCAGAAACTGGTTTTTTCTGTCTTGTTCATCAATGTTCAGCACATTTTTATTGTTCCTTCTTGAAGTGGTTGTTGCATTATTTCTCTGGCAGGCCAAACTTCAGACTACAAGCTCTTTAGTTAAGGTCTTATTACTTGAATTTGAGTA